GTGTGTGTGTGTGTGTGTGTGTGTGTGTGTGTGTGTGTGTGTGTGTGAAACTGTGATTACTCATGTATGTATAATTTTTGTTTATCGGTTAACTGAAACTCAAAACACCCATAGTCGGAGCGTCGCGTATGACGATTACTTCCATAGTACACTGTTTATATTCCTTTTATCGCAATTGTGATTTGATTTTTTCCAATCTTTCCAGAAACCCGTAGTTTGAGTAATGCGTAGTTAAAATATCGTTGACCACGATTTTTTTTTTTTGGCGAAATCTCGTTTAGATGGCGAAGATCCGATTCGCCAACCTTCCATGACAACTAGACTGTGTGATGCTAATAGTCGAAGAGTAGATTGCATCTACCTTTGCATTTCAAGTGCTAAAAAATATGATTCAGTAAAATTATTACAATTAATAGGAAATTTCGAAATATATGCAAATTTTCCGATTAATCACTTTATTCATTTTTGATATAAATTAACGTAAGTGTATATAAAAACTATAATAATACGCGACGCATCAAACATTTCGTTTCAATTACGTTTGAATGAATTAATTAGATAAAAGGCATCGGTTTCTCGGTGCCCAAGACGAGTTAGAACTCTGCTCAAAAGCGATATGAAGACTATGTGTCTGTTAAGACGTGTGTGTAAGACGTGTGTGTATTTCGTCAAAGGTTTCAAGGAAGAGCGAAGCATCCGGACTCAATGGAAAATTTTATTTTTATTCTTTTATTGATCATCATTTAAGTAAAGTGTAGCGATGCGTATGTCGAGAGATACCTATACGTCAATTGCTGATTTGTGGGAAAATATGTATTCGCAAATGTGTGTTTATCATAAAAAACGGAATTTTTATATTTTTGACTTTAATTGCTACCACAAATCAAATTTATTGCCAAAAAGTGTCCAAACAGAAGCCGGAATCCGACTCGTATTTATTTATTTTAAAGTAAAGTAAAACATTTGCTCTAACGAATGGTTAATGTATTTTGCTTTATTGCTTTTTTTGCATTTATGACCTAATAAAAATCATCTATCCCCTATTCGTTACACACTAATATTATATTTTTATATCGAAAAAACTGAAAAAACTTGAAAAAAAAATAAATAAATAAAAATAATAATAAATTTGCAGAGAAGAGGATAAAATTCGCTACTTTTTTTTATCATTTAATGTGATAATAACAATTAATTGAAACGTAGCAGAGCGCGATTAGTGAACACCCTACACTACTAATGCATCGTCCTCTTGATAAATATTTCAAATAAGTTATTTGATTTTGATTGAACTGTGACGTCATAATTTTAATCAAATGCTGAACGATTACAAAAACTGAGACACAACTGACGCAATCAATATGAACTTAATAGTACTTTCGTTTCGCATAGCTTGCATAGATATGCAAGGTTAGATTCACTGCCTCAGTTCTTATAAAGTGAAATAGCAGTCAGAAACAGAAAAGGCGAAGGCAAGGCCACAGAGCTAAATCAAGCTGATCTCTAGCATCTAAGCAGCGATGTGATTTATTTTATTCCCTTCAAATAACATATATATATATAAAAAGCATTTAAAAACTTTTTTCACTGCAGGCCAATGCTGGCAAGATGAACGGCCTCTCTGAAATAGAACAAATTGTTAAAGAGAAGACAGTAAGTGCATTATTTATTTTATTGCATTTGATTAAATTTCTAAAGGAATTTATTTATTTTTGATGTGAATTATTATTAGGAAAAGCATGAGGAAAAATCAAAAATATTGAGCGGAAGTAGTAGCCGTTTGGGAAATGCGGCATGCGGCGGTAACAGTACGGGTATGGAGACATGTAGCAATGCAGATCTAGTCTATCCGAACAATGAGAACAATACATCAAAAAATAGTGGAGAAGTAAGTTAAAATAAATGAAAATAAAATTATATATTAAAGCATATAACTAAAATTAAAATAAAAATATGTTTAGAATAGCTACATGAAATCTAGTGAAATTGAATCAACGCATAAATGTCGACTTCCCGCTCTTACGGAGCTAATATCCACAGAAGAATTGTACATTAAAGATTTGGGTGATATTGTCAACGGGTAACGTTTAACTTGATATTATTAAACGATCCATCACTGATAAATTGTAATAATAAAATAAATTTCTTTAGGTATATAGCTGAATTAAGAAACGCGAACAGTGATATAATAATGCCAAATGACTTAAAAAGTCCTAAATGGTTAATTGTCTTTGCTAATATTGAAGCCATTTATGAGTGGCATCGAGAGTAAGTTCTAAATTGATCTCCCCTTTGATTTATTGCATTACAACATACATTAATATATATATCTTGGGATATTTTGAATTTGAATTTTCATTTTAGCTCCTTCTTGAAGCTCTTACTACAATGTCAGAAAAGTCCAGGCGACTTAGGCTCGATGATCAAACATTATGAACATAAATTCCAAATGTATATTACTTATTGCAATAATAAGCCGAAATCCGAGCACATAGTTACCGAACATGTTCAGTATTTTGATCAAGTGAGGCAAAAGTTAGGTCATCGTTTAGATGTAAGTTTATCGCAACAAATGTACATCTATTTGCAAAAAAATTTTTACACCATGGGATATAAAAATTTCATATCTCTCTGCTTATACAACTTCACTCTGTCAATATCCCCCTACCTACCTCCTTGTACATATTCTGAATTGATTTTATTTGTTACGTGTGTTTGTCTGTCGTGCATTGAATTCGCTAATGTCGAAAAAAACAAACAAGAGTAGAGGCTTGCACTCGAATTCCGAAAATTTGAAAATGAATGGATGTGGCCTCCCAAACAATTATTATTACATCTAAAAAAAATCAAGATCGGTCAATACTCCGCACCATTTGGCCTTTTATACAATTATACATTCATTCTTATAATAACATATCGAAAATGATTATTTTACATTATTTACAGCATTTGAAAGCTCACGAAAGTTCGCGAAAGTTCTCATATTGGAGGGTGCGTACGCAACGCCAACCCATATCATCCAAATTTAGCAAACTTAATTTATTTGTTAAAGAATTTATTATTATTCACCCTACAAGGGGTTACATTTTATGAGAACCGTTATGTATCGTGGGGACTAAATACTACACCTATTTGATTCAAATTTCCTATGATTAATGCTTACGCCAAATTAATAGTACGGATCACTTTTCATCATAAAATATTAAACCGTGAATTACTTACAAATTTTCGTCATAAAAAATTTTGAGAATTACATCTGTCTGGCATACAAGGGCTTATTCTTCATATGGTGGTAAATCCAATAGGGCTAAGTTTAAGATCAAATTATATATAATTTGTGTAAGATAAATATAAATCCAGGTTTCAAAATTGCTCGACAAAAATCGCTCAATAATAGTATTTCGGCATTCGACACAATTGATGTGGATCGGATGGCCTGAGATTTTAAAGTCTCTCTTTAATAATCGTTGTTAATAATCGCAAAGTTTGACATTGAATCACATAAGGCTATTCTATGTACTTCATCCCGTATAGATAGGGTTTTTGACGTGAACTAAATCTCGATATGAAAAAAGATTTCTTTTTTAAATTTTACGAGAAAAATGGCTCAGAGTAATCAGTCATTTGGAATCGAAATGAACCATATTGCACCATATTTAGATCATTTGTCATCAGATTTATTTTTCGGGTATGGTATGGCAGTAAAGTCGAATTTCGAGCACTTTATATAAGAAATAGCTGCGTAATAATAAATCCTCCAAAAAAATATTAATTTTGCTAAAGTTACACGCCGTCAGCTTACGTGTCTATCGGGGCTATCTCCCATCAAAAATACGCATTTAGATGGAAACAAGATGGAATTTTTAATACCTTGTAATGATTAATAAATGAAGAATTGTATTTGGCTTAGTGGTGTAGGGTATCTAATAGTAGGCTTTGCTCGACTATAATGTCCTTGGTCGTTTGTATTGAAAAGTTTAAAAAATATAGAAAAAAACTCTTTATACACTTGCCTGAAGTAGTGGGTAACCAAAATATACTCTACGACCTATACTATAGACCTTTTCTTTGTTTATATATATATTTGGCATTTAAATATAAAGCAATCAATATCTTTAAATAGTTAAGTGATTTACTCATAAAACCAGTGCAACGTCTAACCAAATACGTTCTCCTATTGAATACCATCACCAAACAAATCGAACAGGCCGGGATGGTCGAAGAGGTGCCTAGCATGAAGGAAGCCTGCAATGTAATGAATGTAAGTCCTTTTTACTTGAAATATGTATATAACGTGTGGTGTACGGAAGCGATTTGACAAGTAGTTTTTTTTTGGCGGGGGGGGGGGAGGCGGATTTCCGTTTTTCCATTGATAAAATTTCGAATTTGATTATTAAAGCATTTGTAAGAAAAATACAAACTTTTTTAAAATCGATTTCATTAAGAAAATAATTTGGTGTTCAATGATACTATCGCTCATAATACAAACAAAAAAAAAAATAAAAATAAAAATAAATAAATAAATCGCACCATCGCTCTTGTATATTTAACTGATCAAGTTTGCCTTTATATGCTTCTTTTCATCTCGAATATTTCTTCATTTTCATCATTCATTCATGTCTATAGGCAATATGTAAAAACGTTAATGACACTATGGTTCTACAAAGGCTCAAAAATTTTGACGGTAAAATAACTGCTCAAGGTAAACTACTGTTGCATGGCTCATTAACGTGCATTGAAAATGCCAGGAATGCCACCGAAAGAAAAATGCGCGAAATGCATGTTTTTATTTTCGAGCAAAGCATACTATTCACTGAGAAGCACAATTCAAAAATTCAATTTTCCAGTCCAACTTACGTTTATAAGAGTCACATCCAGGTAAGTGATTCGTGATTATTATTATTTGCGGCCAAAAAAAGATAGCATCGTATCGATGTGTGTGTGTGTGTGTTTTTTTTTTTTTTGTTTTTCTTCTCTAAAAAGGTTAACAAAATGCAGTTGGAAGAGTTACCTAACAATCGTTTTTTACTTAAGTCAACAGATCCCAACCGTCCAGACTTAAACATGATTTGTCACGCATCGACAATAGAAACTTATCGCGAATGGTTGGATACAATACGCAAACAATTGCAAATTCAGCACGATTTCCTTAACGCACTTACTCGGCCGATTGCGTATCAGCAGCAACAGCAGGCAAAAGGAAAACAACATAGTGACATGAAACACGAACTTAATAGAGAGTAGTTGTGAAAATGCGCACACTATTAATTATCATTATTTTTATTTATGCTCTTTCTTTGTTATGATTTTACTTTTCTTTTTTTTTTCCTTTTCGTATTATGTAACTACTTATTGAACTTTTTTTTTTTTCTATGCAATTAGCTCGTATATTGACGATGACAATTAAGATTTTTTTTTTTTTTTTTTTTTTTAATTCGTTCGCTTAACTGGAAAACAAAAACCAGAAAAGAATTATTATTATAATAAGTTAGAAATTGATAAGTAAACGATAACAACAGCAACAGCAACAACAACAACAACAACAACAAAATTATAAGAAATCTTATTTCCGATAGTATTAAATAATTAATAACAATTGTCTGGTACACTCTATAGGTACGATATAAATAAATAATAAAAATTCATCCATCAGAATGCATTAGATTACCATCAGCGACATTGAATACATATTTATTTATGAGTTATGTATGAATAGCATGTAACCGATATCATCGCACGAAAGCAAGACACGAGTTCATATACCTATATATATATATTCCAAAACATGTACAGGAACATTTTTCGAAATTCAGCTCTCTTATGCGATATGTTTACACAAACAGCCGCATCATTATTATTATTACCATTACTATCATTATAATATATATATATATATATATATATATATATATATGTATGTATATATTTAAAAGAGTATATGAGAAATGAGAGATGAAAAAATGGCAAAAGAATGTCTTACTCGCTACTACTTTACAAGCATTAGATTAAGCAGCAGATATCAATTCGGATAATTCAAAAAAAGATGAAAGAATTTTTTTTATAGGTACATCCCTCCTTGTGTGTATCGCACACAAACACAAACACGAACACAAACATAAACACACACATACGCACGCACACACAATCACTCATTTAATAAGAGGTATATAAAATAAATTGAGCTTAGCTACAATTAAATATATATATATATATATATATATATAATTAGTCAATTTGCCTTTAGGAGATGAGTAGCCCTTTCGCTTGTTGCCCAAAAATTTTATACACCAGTGGTGAGTATTAATAAGACATTCTTACTGCTTTAAATTACACCCTGTCCACAATTAACGATAAATATCTGCATCAAATTTCAGCTAACCATCTTTCCATCTTAACAACTGCTGTAGTCGTATTAACGGACAGACAGACAGGTAGACAGAGATACATATTTATAATGTGTAATTTTTGCACTTGTGGCTATAATGTAATTGGGGAGCATGGAATTATCTTGGAATTCGGAGTTCGGTGCTTTATTAATTCGAAATTCGTTTACTTTACGTTACCTTACTTTAATCTACAATCAATCGTTCGAAGTTGTGAGTACAAAAGTTACATTTTTTTTTTTTTCTCATTAAACGTGAAAAAAGTTTGTGAGAACACGTTCCCAAACAAGATTCCCTTACAATCCTCTACTTTCGATAAGTTCAAACATTAATATTAAGGCGATATGATAAATATATTTTTATGTTTAAGATTTTTCAGTGCTAGACGCACAATTGGAAGGATAGCATTTTCAATTTCTATTTAGATTATGATAGCTGATAAATAACTGAATCAATTCTTTCCCCTTGATTGGGTGGACTGCGTAAGTTTTCTTTGCACAAATTATCTGAAATCGTGCTCATGAAATCGAATCATAATAATATCTTCCTTCCTAAGTTTATAATTTACACGATACATTTTCAGGTAAAACAAAAGTATCACTAAAATAAAGATTGACTTTAAATGCATTGTAATTTCAAGTTCCATGTAAGATATAAAGAGAAGGATTGGGAAAGATGTGTCGCTGTGACGCGTCTCTTACGATTTTAAAAAGGCATCAATGCTTGCCTTGGGAAAGGGTTTCTTCTATTATTACGACTCTTCTCAGCTTTTGTTCATGGATTTGCAGGATTTTTAAGAAATCTTGCAAATTCAATGGCAATATTATGCCAATTGGAATATATAAACTAGACAGGAAGACGAATTTAATGGAAAAATCGAAGGCTTTGGTTCACCTATTTTTGCAAAGTCGAAAACTATATATAAAAAAACTAAAGACATTGGCTTCCCTTATTTATCATGTCGCCATATTATTACCCAAGCTTGTGTCCACGCTGTATACATTGCTAATTGTATATTTCATAAAGATGGTTTCTCAGAGAACTGACTAATATTTTCAAAAAAAAAAAAATACTTAATAATAATAATAATAATAATAATAATAATAATACAATATATAATATAAATAAAACTTATAGGCTGTTCGAAGAAGAATGTATTAAAATATTTTACAGCATGCATTGAGAACAAATACAAAATACAAAATACAAATAGAAATACATTTACAAATACATACGTACAAAAGTACGCAATCCAAGCAATCCAAGAAAGAAAACTAATCTTCAACAACAATAACTTTAAGAAAGAAGAAGAATAACTTGATAACTTGAAAGAAGGTCGGAAAATTTCTTGTTTTTATTCAGCTTTACTTTTAAGCCAAAATAATTAGGAAAACTAGATAAAATAAAAAGTATAATATTCAGAAATAAGATAAATAAAAAAAAAAAAAATTTATTTTTTTACTATTTCAAACATAAACAAAAAAAGAAAGCAAATGATAAATAAAATAATTAAAATCAGTCTCTTCATTGCTTCAATAAAAAACATTTCATTTTATTAATTTAACGTAAATAATGATTATTTTGTTAATTACATATTTATGTTAATTACATAGTTAGTTGATCCTCTTTAATTAAAAAATGATGATGATGATGATGATGATGATGATGATGATGATGATGACGATGACGATGATGATGATTGTTGATAGCGTTGTAAGATAAAGACATATTAAATTGTACTTTTCATTTTAATGAGGAATTTTTAATGTTCTTCTATTCCCTCGAACCCTTCCTTCCTTCCTTCCTTCATTCCTCCCTTCCTCCCACTCTTCCACCCATCCCCCATCCGCTCTTTTTTTTTTTTTTTCTTTTTCCCCCTCTCATTGTGTTACTCTGCCTTTGCATGTATATGTTATACATAAGTACGTTATAAAGTTAAGTAAAAAAAGAAGAAAAAAAAAAAGAAATTAGACAAGTTTTCATAAAGTTATCTACCAAAACTTTATATGTTTATCTATAATTATACAATTATATAAAGATTCCCGTGAAAGTATTTGTCTCCTTTTATGTAATTATTGAAAACTGTCAACACTTCTAAGCGTTTCTTAACAAAATTAAATAAACAATAAAAGAAAATTTAAAAAAAAAAAAAAAAATAAAAAAAAAAAAAAAAATATATAATATATATATATATATATTATAAAGAAATCAACAATGGTAGTTGTAATGAAAATGTTATAATTTGCAAATGTACTTATATACATACACATACAAGCGTACATGTATACATCGTATACAGGTATATGTATGTACGTATGTATATATGTATGTATGATGACGATATAATCTAAATAAATGCAAAACACATGCTATGCCAACTATTGCGTCCTGTTTGTTGAATTTTTATTTATCCTTCAAATTTACCGGATACTTATAAAGTTGGCCACGTACGCATTTTTTAAGAATGAATAGCATACCGAAGTTAGGTAAGCCACCCATTCATTTATTAATTTGCCTTTTTGTGAAAATGACATCCAACGACATTATTTATTATTAAGGTGTCATCGCTACATAGTCGAGATTGAAAACTTTTTCTTCAACTCATTATAACTATATTGACTGTTAAGGTCAGCTACATCATCGACAACAATCGTTTGCCCATAAAAATTTATAAATATCTGTACCAGAACAGGTCAACCAGAATTTGCCTTAACTTAAAATACATTTCGCATTGATACTGATCTATTTCAAAAGTTGTTTGTTAGATGTAGGGTCTCTGTGTTTTAGTTTCTATATTGTATGAATGTTTCGGGCAAACAGCGTATAGTAAAATAGAAGCCAAAGACTTTTCACGCCGTACTTTTTTCAAGATAACTGCATATATGAAAAATCATCATCCTGGAAAATATCTCGAGGTCTGTTCGTTCACTTGCTTCGCGCTTGCTTCCCCTTGCTGCCCGCCTCATCATCGTAATCGATATTAAAGCAATTTTCTTCTACATAAGCATTGATGCCGATATCGAGTACCTCTTAGCGCGTCTTGGCACATTACTTGTAGGCTTTTTTAATCCTTTTTTTCGCCAAACCATAGTCACCGCAGCCGTCGAACGCAGACGCCATTGGCTCAACTTTGCGTGAAACGCGTTATTGTATAAAAATTCGTCTTTTTTACGCCGACACCACACTGAACCTGCAATATACTCTAAGTAACCTATCGCGTAACATGAACAGGTAATGTGTCTTTTAATATAAAAGATGTGGAAAATTGCATAAATTATGCTAAATATATTGTATGCGTATGTAAAACTTGTTGAAGCGTCTGACAAACATAAAATTTACAATTCTTCAATATGGAAAGAAAAACCATGAAACAAAGATGACGTTATATTTGCTATCTAATCTTTGCTTTTGTTGTTCCATTCATATATACTTATATGTTATATACCGTGTGCACAGAATTAGCTTAAAAACGTAAAATCGTATATGCTTTTACAACGATTGATACAATGTGACGTCATATTTAGAAATCAATCAGAGAATCTGTGTCTTATATCTCATGTTCTAAAGAATGTTTTACTTATTCGCACCTATTATTCATCCATTCATCACGAATCGGCAGTTATATTTAAATGCAAGCAAAACTGATAAAATCTTACATTTCTTCATCCGTTTAGTAAAAGAGAGTATATCCCATGTTTGAGGTAGAAACATAGAATGCTATGCAGTTTTTCAAATGCCTAGTAAGGCTGGCATTACAAAACGAAAAGAAGAAATAAAAAACATATGTACATTCGTCCGTTGTAAGCCGAGTGTTCATCCGGTCCAGGTTTAGTGCCCGTTTAATAGCCGTCCTCTGTGCTATGTCTTTCCATAGACACATATGTGTGTCCATCTGTTAGCTTCCGGTAAAATTCGCTCTTCGCTCGTATGCATTGCTCTACCTACCTCCACCTCGAATTCTATCTAGTTCAGCGAAACCGTCAAAATGTAACGATATTTGACAAGAGAAACCTAAAATATACAATATATTTTTATGAAACTTAGTCGACTCCGCATTTGTCCCGATCCGCTGGCGTTTAAATGTTGTCAATTTTAATTGGCATTTAGGTTATTATTATTATTATTATTATTATTATTATTAATTTCGCCACAGAAATAAATTCTAAGACTAAACTCTTAAAAGCACTAGCATCTAAGGCTATCGGCCTAGGCATTTAGGTTAGTATTGTCGCTTTAATGCAATCTCATTCCATTGTATATAAAATATTTACATTTGATGAAATGCATGGGAAAGACACAGAGTGACATAAAATGATTTTTGTTACGATGATGTCAGTAGTTATTAATAAATGTGGCAATAAATAGTGATGAAAACGAGACGATTAGAAAGGAAAATTCATCGTGTGCAATCAAGTATGAGCATTCTGTTCTAGCAGTCGGTGTATTAAACAAAACAGGGAATAGATTTCGTATAATTTATATGAACTCATTAAAATCATTAATTTCTTTAACATTGTTCCTAACAACGGTAGTGTTGTCGTTGCTCTTCGCTCCAATCTTATTTTTGTTGTTGATTAGTCTCGTTCAGATATTTAAAATTAAAGTTTGCTTATATGACATGTCTGTCTAAAGTCTCTAACAATACTCTTGGCCTTGTCTTTGCGGCTTTACGTTTGCAATCTAATTATTAATATCATTATAATTGTTTCCCCATTTACTGACATTGTTTCAATTATCATAAAAAGCTTAATAATTTATTCTGATAGATGCCACAGACAAGTAGACTCGGATGCACTTATGCATGTCATAAATAATTCATACTTTGTACGCTTAGGAAACTATTATTATTATTATTATTATTATTATTATTAATTTCGCCAGAGAAATAAATTCTAAGACTAAACTCTTAAAATCACTAGCATCTAAGGCTATCGGCTTTTATTATTATTATTATTATTAAAAACTCTACCGCACTTGAGATTCGAACCCACGACCATTGACTTGCTAGTCGAGACTCTTGCCTACTCGGCCACTCAGGCGGATACTTAGGAAACTAAATTTGATACAAGTGCTTATATCCTGTCCTGTCCCCTGTTTTTCATTTTAACAATTGCAAAAAACCAGCATCAGTTGTATGTATGTATTATTAGAATTGAAATTTCTGTTTTAAAAAGTAATAAAAAATGCTTCACTGAAATAAACAGCTCCTAATACGTATGTACTCCATATGTTCATATAACGTATGTTTCAATAATTACAATTCATTTAATAGATTTTTGACCATGGCGGGTGATGCGTGGCCAGAAAATGCTTATTTCGAGCGTACCTTGATAATTGCAGTGACACTGCAAAAAAAAAAAAAATATTAAGAAAATGTATATTAAATAGAGTAAGTTTTTATGAAATGTATATTTCTCAGTTCGCAAGCTTAAATTACTGAAGCTCGAGATAATACGATCGGTAACTTAACTAAAAATTACAACTTTTTTTTTTTTTTTTTTTTGGTATGTTGAAACAGAGATGGACTAAGCCATTTGATTTGTGGCTTATATGTCCACATTACAACTTTAACGATATCGAAATCGGTAATTTGTCAAAATGCTATTATTTGAACATAAAATTGGTAAATATACAATTGGCAGGCTATGTAACAACAAGTTTTTATAACTTTCCACGCACACGCACGTCTTTTTAAAATATAAGTCTAAACACTGGACGTATTGGGCTGTTCATCAAAAGGCCTGATCCGTCGTTGTTATTCAAAAAATTCCAAAAATAAGACAAGTGTATCCTATATACACAGGGATTGAGTCAAATATCTAACGAACACATATCGAAATTATGTGAAAAGTAGAGATTATCATATTGTTCGTAACGTTAGAATAAAGGGGAGGACAGTTCAGAATATAATATTCATCAAACGGTAAAGTGCTATTCGAAGCGGCTAGAATATATTTTACGGATCACTGCTAACGTATCAGTAACAGTGCTAGCGTTTCCATCTTTTTTAAAATTTTGAAATTACGAGCATTTCCTTATCTAGAGCTGGCAACATTGACTTCAATTTTCTACTTATTAAAGCAAATGTAGTATAGAAACGCTCGGTAAGAAGTAAGAAGGAACTGTACCCCAGCTAATACCAAAATAAGATTTATTGAATTGCTCGTCGACAATGGATATTCTTTGCAAGTATTTGTCAAATATACGTATACCCTGTGATAAACAGCCTATATATAAAGATGAGTGCGTTTATTCTTTTGATACTCCGGAGACATCGACGGGATTGTACGTCAACTTGACCACATTCTTAGGCTTTGGTGAAAATTATGTTTTGAAATATGCAGAGAAAACGGGGAACAAAGTTTTCTTGCATATTCGGAGAGAGAAATTCGCAAAGGATAATACTATGGAAACAAATAAAGAAGAAACGGGACCAAAATCCAAGATTACGCGTCTAGCAATTGGCATCGAAGGTGGTTTTAATAACAATGAAACTACGAAGTATGAATATAAAGACACCTACAGCATTGTGGTCATGCCCGATATAAAAACAAAGATGCCATACCCTAGTCCTGAATTACCAATGATCGTAAACCAATCGGTGGAAGCAGTTTTGGCCCAAGATTCTGCCATTATGAAATTGCAGAAAGAAGCTTTAACAGGTAATTCTTATCGTACGATTTGAGTAAACCTTGAATAAGTGTAATTGCAACGTAATGTTAAAAATACACACTTCCATTATAGGATCATGGGATGGTGAAATAAGGCAAATCTCCAAGTATTCGGATGAATTAAAGCAACTTGATAACGGTAGGAAGATACCACCTTCTGGATGGAAATGTGAAAAATGTGACTTAACGAGTAATCTTTGGCTAAATCTTACTGATGGCTCGATTCTTTGCGGAAGGAAATTTTTTGATGGCTCTGGAGGCAATGACCATGCGGTACAACATTACCAAGAATTTGGATATCCTTTAGCGGTAAAATTGGGAACTATTACGGCAGACGGTAAATCGGATGTATTTTCCTATCCGGAAGATGATATGGTAATAGATACTAAATTGGCCGAGCATTTATCACATTTCGGAATTAACATGGCGGCTATGAAAAAGTCGGAGAAATCAATGGTAGAATTGGAGTTAGAAATAAATCAACGAATTGGTGAGTGGTCGCTGTTAACGGAGAGTGAAAGTACTCTGCAGCCTTTGGCTGGACCAGGTTACACGGGAATGCGTAATTTGGGGAACTCATGTTACATCAACAGTGTAATGCAAGTCCTGTTTACTGTGCCAGACTTTATTAAACGCTTTGTGGGAAAAGGTGCGGAAACTTATTTTGGTGAATTTCCACTTGATCCGGCCAATGATTTTAATATTCAAATGGCAAAGTTAGGAAATGGGCTTTGGTCTGGAAAGTATAGTTCGATTACGCAAAACACGTTAGATGAATCTCTGGGTATTTCGCCAGCCATGTTCAAAAACGTAGTGGGTAAAAATCATCCTGATTTTGGTACAAAGCAACAGCAAGATGCTTACGACTTCTATTTATATCTAATTAATCTTCTCGAGCGGCACTCACGGAATGAGTTCAACCCTGCTGAAGCGTTAACATTTGCTATCGAAGAACGAGTAGAATGCTTGACAAGTAAGAAGGTTAAATACACGAGACGTGATGAATATTGCTTACCTCTCCCGATTCCATTGGAAAAGGCCACCAACCTTGACGAGGTCACAGATTATTTAGAGAAGAAATCTACGTCAGCAATTGGGAAAGAGGGCGACAAAGACATTATAAGGCACAATATCCCTTTACATGAATGTTTAGAACGTTTCTTTTCTTCCGAGCATATTGAACAATACTACTCAACTGCCATCAAGGATACAACTTCTGCCAAGAAATCCTCGAGACTTGTCAACATGCCAGATTACCTCATGATGCATTTGCGCAAGTTCACTTTAGGCGACGATTGGGTGCCAAAAAAATTAGATGTTTCCGTTCAAATGCCTGACGATTTGGATATGTCTAAATGGCGGGCTCTTGGAAAACAACCGAACGAAGAAGAACTGCCCGAAATCGATTTAATTAAAAACGTCAATTTCACATTTGATGAAAACATGGTGAGTTCATTAATGCAAATGGGTTTTCCACAAGAAGCTTGCAAAAGAGCTGTGTTTCACACTAAGAACGGTGGCATAGATGTTGCATCGGATTGGCTCATGGAGCATATTGGGGACTCCGATTTCTCTGAACCATTTGTGGTGCCGGATTGCGAGACCGGAAATATCGCTGGCAAAATGAAAAGTAATTTCGTTCCTAATCCTGAAAGCCTAGCTTTATTAATGAGTATGGGTTTCGACGAACTTAAAGCTACCAAAGCTCTTAAAGCTACGAACGGTAACTTAGAGCGTGCAACAGATTGGATCTTTTCGCATATCGACGACATGGACGTTGATGATACGGACACTTCCACCAGTTCGGGAAATCAAAACCAGAAAATTTATCGGGACGGCATTGGAAAATATAAACTAGTCGCATTTATTTCTCATATGGGAACTTCAGCTCAAGTTGGTCATTACGTGTGTCATATTCGTAAAGACGGACAATGGGTCATTTTTAATGACAGTAAAGTGGCATTGTCTCAAAAACCACCGAAAGACTTGGGCTATTTATATATGTACAAGCGTGAGGAGTAAAAATATAAAAATGAAATACCAAATACGAGTCCGCAAAAATGTACAATATTTAAAAACATAAAATTAAAAATAAAGAATTAAAAAATACATTAAATTCAATAAACGTAATTATAACGCAATATATTTCTTAGACTTGTAAAGCTAAACTGTAGTTCTGTTCTTGCGATTAAAAATGCGCGATTACTTTCGTTCCCCTAATATATTCATAGATTTGTGGAGTTCTTTGGACTTCTTGATAATCTACCCTGTGCGTCATGATCATGTCTGAAAACCGTTTCTTGCATTATGTTTCGATATAGTAGCGCAAAAAATTAAAAATTCGGGAGGGAGTGACTGCGATGGAAATATTGTGGGCACTTTTCATGCATTTTCCTCCCATTGTGCTATTGGAATTCGAACTCGAATGCTACAGTTCACAGTTATAGATTCGAGTAACACAATATGTGCTTGCTCCTTTCTAAAGTAGCCAACGTTGCCCGGTAATCCTTTAACTCCGTTAATCTTTTAATCCACCCAAGTACTCTTTCGAAAACGTAAATTCACACGCTCTCTCACATTCTTAAGTATAATCACTATATTATTTTGTTCATTCAAAAAACAACGCTTCAACGTTACATGCCCGTAATTAAAAAATCAATAATAGTCCTCGCAAGGCTTGCATGCTACATGCATACATGCTACACAAATCAGTCATGCGAACAGTCAAATTCAAATGATTGATGTAATATGAGAAATAAACACATTTCCTTCTATCGAAAAAATTAAAATCTATAAAAGTTTACATTATACCACCAAATACCAAATACGGGAGTATGTTACTTTTATCAAACCATTTGCAAATGCAAGCATGCCCGGCTGTATAATCTTGCTGATAAACATTCCAATATCTTGTATATAGATTAGTATGGAATATAGGTCAAATCACTCAAATGGCACGCTTACAGTAAAACATCAAATAAGAATTCTCTCTCCTTCTATTCTCAAGGGCAAAAAATTAAATTTTTTGCTTATTACTCATAACCGTTCACAGACACAACGATATGGTTTAATGGTTTATGGCTTATGGGTTTAAGTGTCAAATGCCACGCCCGCCTAATATTATAAAATATCGGGGTTTTTGTTTAACGAAGCTAGACTAAAGCTGGGGGATGTAAAATATTCAGCCGCACTGATAACGTAAAATACGTGTAGCTTCTAAAAATAGTTTAAAAAGAAGAGATTTTTCTTGTATTGAATCTTTGATAACATTATGTCACGTCAGTATGTGAGAGTAGACTTGTGAATAGATCTCCTTTTGGTGCTCTTCTGGTATAGTTGAGCGATATTGCTTCATTAAATCATATTTCTCCCATGGCTTCTCATGGTCTTTGGCGGTGCGTCTACGTTTATCCGTTAGGTATTCATCAATATTTGAGATGCCACGCAAATTTTGCCTTTCCCATTTTTCCAACCAAGGTCGCGGACGCAAACGAACTTTTATATCGTTTACGGGAACTGCGGCACCTTCTTCTCTAACGCATCACGTAAATAGAATAGACGATCATCAAGACGTTTTTCAAGCCGCAAAACTTCAATTTTTTGTATGGTTGGATCATACATGTCGTATGAAATTTCAAGCCCTTGCTTATCAATCACATTACGCGTGCAAAAAGTATAGCGCGCAACCAAAAAGTATAGCGCGCAACCAAAAAAGTATAGCGTGCAACCAAAATAATAAATGTTTAATGAGAGAAAGAAACACACAGAGGAGACAACAAACAGCAAAGCATACACAAACAATTAAATAAATACAATTGCACAAAAATCCAAACGTCAGAATAAACAAAAAAGGAATTATAAGTTAAAAAGGCATCCTGATCTTGGTAAATATTCACATTATGTTTTAGAATATTGGCTGCCGTAGTTCTCTCTCTCTCTGTCCTTCTCTCTCCATCTCTTGCTGCAGGCCAATTTGTGGCAAAAAAACTTATGCATTCCCAAGTCACAATTTTTGGAACCGCGAGCGTTCGAATACCAGAAGATAATTGACCATCTATTTGTAGTATCTTGCCCTTATTAGGAATCCATGTACGTTCTATATGCACGGGGATGGGCATAAAAATCATTTGGATTTTACTTGAATGTTTATTGTACGAGCAGTAGTTTGCAGTGAAACAACTTTAGCTGGTATCTGCTTATATTAGCGAGTATTACTCGAATCACTGTAAGTTGTAAAGACTTTACAACTATCGCTAAAGTTTAAAATTTTTTATCATCGTAAAACTGTTCACAGTTAACTTATCTGAAGGGGAAATAAATTAAAATATCAGAGTGAAAGGCACGTACTTGATGTATTCGATTAATTGAAAAAGATCACTTATTATATATATGAGAGCAATTACAAAATGTCAGGAAGGCAAATGATTACTTTCAATGCCTTTATGTAGTTGTGTCACAAAATGCAATTTATTTAATTTGATTCTTTACTTTGTTGCTCTACTTTTTGTTTATTTGTCTTCATATTGTTATCTAAATCCCAATCATATCAAAAATATTCCGTTGCAAATGCAATAAGTAAGAATTTCGATTTGACGGTAATCCGCTTATGGAAACTCATTAAACAATAATAACGAGTCGAGTGTGCGCTCGTAGATTGTTAATTCATTTTCGGCTATTTTCTGTCAGCTACGACAGTGGAGAAATGAGGATAAACTCACCTGCTTAATAGCTTAAGTAATAATAATAAAGACAGCAAACATATATTTATATTATACATCCATACGTGTTGAATGCCTATTTATGTGACTACTATATGGAAAGTAGTTTAACTCATATTATGATGAGTGGATTATTAATATTTCAGTTGGGACAATTGAATTAGAAAAGGAGAACAAATGATAATAATCATTGAAAAGTACCTTGATAGAGTCATAGAACGGTAAGTCAATTGGGATAAATTGATTCCACGCTCGCTGTTGAATATTAAAATTAATATCGCTAAGTGAAACTGGTGAAGCAATTACACTATTGATCCATTTAACGATAAAGACAACACCAACCCCAAGTCTCCGCTTATGAGGAGTTGCAAAATTAGTCAATTCCAACTGGTTAACGTATGGAGGAGTAAGGTGGCATGCTAAGTTTGATTACAGCAATACTTTAAAATCCATGATACTACGACTTGGTAGCGATATCGATCATGGGTCGAACAATATTTTCAGAACAACTTATGCAGGCACGCATGCCAAGAGGGTAGAAAACGGCTATAAACCGACCGACCCCATGTACCTTTGAAAAAAAAAGTAGTTGATTACATTAAGGGAGGAATTAATTACTCTTGGCGCGCTTTTTTTTATTATCATGTAAACTAACTGGGCCTTTGGTTAGGGACCGGTTTTGTTATAATAAAATACAAGGACATATTTTATTTTATTGTTTGCGACATTTTTTTTTTCGGTGGCCCATATATGTTTTTGAATTGGAGCGGCGAGCTTCTTCCCATTTTAACTGCTTTTCTGATGATTTATCTTTATTAAATACCGCATTTATTGTTCCATGTGCCTTATTTCCTTTTGAAGACTCTAATAATTCTGAAAAATCATCAGCGGCGGCGAATAACTTCGTCATATCTAAAATAACAAAAATAAATGAATCATCAAATAAGTAAATTAATAAATAAATAAACAAAAAAAATGTTGACGAACCGTCACTAGATTTCAATTTCTTTGCAAAGCTCCTTCCATCCATGTGGGAAGATGTAGATGGTTTACGTAACCTTTTCGATTTTATTGACGGGCTATCGAAACTTGGCTCGGCCGGCTTATCACTGTCACTGCATTCGCTTTCATTTACTGATGTTGAGGCATCGCTTTCTTCATCATAACTAGCGGAACCATTTTCATCATCCGAATTTTCGCTACCAATGAAATCAGCATCCTCTTCGTCATCCGTCCAGTCGACATCATTTGCATCATCCACGTCAACATTGTTTTTCTCTTTTTTCTTTTTACCCTTCGTCGTTTCGGCTTGAAGATCATCTCCCAGCTCCTTGAGAAAGTCCAAGTCTTGCTGGTCCTTATCGCTTTCTCCCTTCTTAACTTTTTTACCAAAGTAACCATTTAAATATTCTTCAAACTCATCATCGTTGACTTCATTTGTTTGTAAATCATCGTCCTCGTTATCTAACGGTCGAATTTCTTTAGAAGCAGCTTTTTGACGCTTTTGTTCGAAAAAGTTGAAAATGTATATTTCATCTTCGGTACAAGTGGCCTTCGTCAGAGATTTTATAGGCAAGCCACGTGAGCCTTTTGCCAGATAATCCTTTCCATGTGCCACTTGATTTTCAGTTTTTAATTCATTAATCTTTTTAGGATTTTTAAATGAGAATCTTTCCAAGAAGTGAGATAACCCAAAATCATTCAAAGGATCGCCATAATAATTGATTCGTTTACCTGGGATGTAATAAAAATAATGCATCAAGTTTAAAAAGAAAAACTAAATGAAAAAAAAATATTGCGCAGCCTATTTACCTTCTGTAATGTTTTCGGCAAATACTTTAATTGTAGGATGAAAATGCTTATGTAAGCATAACAACTCATTATGCGCTGCAAACTCAGCCCCAGAATATGTAGGTGAACGATGATACGGATCATACGTTTTTTTATAGTCATTTAACTCGAAAACGTTTTCTTCTCTAGATGACGGATTAAATTTTGCATGATGCCAGGATGAGTGTTCCTTTTCATTATTTGTAGACTTTGGTTCATTGGCGAAATTCTTCTTTTTTGTTTGTTCGACATCATCATCTAATACATCTTCATACTTCTCCTCGCAATCGCCATCGAATTTTTCAAAGTCTTCAATATCAACAAAACTTTTCTCTACAAAGTTATCTTCCTTTCCGTCTTTAATTAACTCCTTACGACTGTGCAGCAATTTATGAATGACTATCAAACAGCCTGCAGATATATTTGATGGCATATATAAGGCTAACTGAAATAACCTCTTAATAAACGCTTTCGCTCGATGTATATTCGAATCGTAATGTACGGCGCGGTGAAAAATGTGAAGGAATTGAGCAGCAGTTTTACCACCAATCGTTGTAAGGTTTAAATCAAGCAGTTTGGCATATAGCGCGTTATAGAAACGGTCGCTCTTTTCCGTCCTTACCGTTACAAACTGTAATAACAAACCCAGTGTTTGTACCGAAACGCGTATATCAGCTAAGTGCACCAAACGATATATTGTGTTTCGCATGTCTTCACTAAGCATTTCATTATTGTCCTCTGTTTGTTTTCCATGCGCAATAGCCTTTTGTAGGCATCGAAGTATTGCTTGCATGGTACGATTATTAACCGCACCTTTCGCCACAAGTACCTTAAACAGGGAGAAACATATGTGAGAAAGCTTCGTACATATGTTTGTATGGCATAAAGATGCAATGCTTGCCAAAAAGCAGAGAGCAAAATGCTGAGCTCTATCAGATATATTATTTCGAAAAAGCAGCTTTTCAGTTTCTGTCACGATAACTCCGCACATATTCGGATGTTGATATGCTATTTCCGTTAAATGGTGCAAAGCTTTAGAAGCTATTTTAGCAATTGGATCCCCCAGTTTGTTAATTAACATAGTTAGTAATAATTGCTCCTTCTCAGAAGCAACGGCTAACAGCTGAGCCGCGTGCACTATTGACACTTTTTTATTAATTTCTTGACCCTTTTGTATTCCCTGTTGAATATTCTTCAAAAATTCTAAATAAAAATAAATCAGAATACGATTCAACAGGCTGAAGGTATTGCTAAAAATATGTATATATATATTTCCGAACTAATCTACGTACCAAAGTATTGATCCTTCAGTTCATTTTCAAAATGCCAATAAGCATATATACGTCGCTTCTCTTCATTTGTTAGAGAAGCATCTTTCCGTACGTTTTTCCAATCGGCAGCGCGCATTTGGATAGAGTAAAGCTTGCGGTGTGGTGGTAACAAAACTTCCTTCCACATATCGGTTACAACAGGGATAACATCAGTACAGGATTTATTTGATAGCCTAGTAAGATCCATTAATATAGCCAACACATCTAAGCTGGCTAAGGGATTAGTTGCAACTAAAAGCACACCAGCATTTGCACGATCCTTAGCTGTGCCCTTACGTAGAGCACTTTGTAACCACCGAACATCCGATGGATTTTCTAAAAAATAAATTATTTTAAAGAGTCCACGTCTTTTTTTATATATGAGCATTCCAAACTTTTTGAAAATGTCGATTTTTCTTGCTCGTATGAGGAACGGCAAATCTTGCACAGTTCCGTAAATTCACTCTCTTTCATGTCTTCGATTTCGCCGCTACATGGATATTGCGTATACTGCAAGAAACAAATAATTTATGTAATAATATCAAGTATTCTCTTAAAGAATATTACATACAACTTCGAACCATTTCTTTTCGCAATCCGATGCATCCGATGATTTGTTTCCATTGAAAGATTTTTCCGGCCGAGCAAAAGTATAAGAATTATTTTTGTGCGTGTTTTTTCTCCCTTTGGCACTTGTAGACATTTTGACGTCCGTCCGATTAATTATAGCTATTTACAATTGCACTCCTTCAGTCTATTCTGAGCTTGCTGAGGCCGTTAAAAGATCAGCTATTTATTATTAGTTAATTTTATTTCACTTTTCCCACGTGTTCTTAGTTCGACACGCAACCCAATATGAACCACTGATATAATTTCGAGCTTCAATACAACGCGATCATTTCTTCATGTGACAACAACAATATATTTTCACTCTTTCGATCTATTATGTTAGGGCCGAATATCCTTTCATCGCCGTGCAAAACAGTTAGATGAACAGAAATCCCTCCTCCTTGTAAAATTCTATCTTACTTTTGCTTAGCCGCGTTTAGATGGGTTGCCGTAGCGCAAACTTCGCCAAGGTAGACATTTTTTTTAAAAGACTTGAAGCCGCGCTACCATATCATTTTATAAAAAGCAGTAAAAAAATCTATACAAATAAATCAAATGTCTTCCACGGGCCAGGAAATGTAAGCGAGGCTTTATTATGTCAACCCCCATATGGTAGTGAGTGAGTGAGTGGCTTTTTAAGTCGTTACTACATGCAGCCTGAAAGGCTGTAAGCCTCCGTATATTGTACGTGGGAATGGTCTATTGTTCGTATATATCGAGTGTATTCGTATACTCTGCCCATATAGACCCAAACTTAATCAAGGCAAATACATATTTCGACATTTTTTCGCGTTCAGATGTTATATACACAAAATTGTTAAAAGTATTACGCAAAATTTATGATTTGTTTTAAAAAAAAGAAGCTTTTTTTAAAGAAGGACTTTAAAATTTTCCGTGGCAAAGAGAGAGAGAGGGAGAGAGAGAGAGAGGACTACATTTAATATATTTTGAATTTTATTTTATTTTCTTACTAACATATTCTGGGAGAAATTAACGAAGAATCAATAATTGCTTCGCGGACTTAGCAAATAAAAAAGTTTAAGAAACTCTGTAACTAATCGCTTTGCAATTAAACAATAATAAGATAAAAGCCTACTATGACTTTAGCTCATCGTGCTCTATTTACGTGGTTTATTGTGCTGGTATTCTTAATTTTACTGTGTCTCCGTTTAGATCCAAGAACACACTGGAATTGGTTCCTTGTTTTCATACCACTTTGGGTATTTGATGGGATCCTTATCATATATATTATAATTAAAATTATACGAAAATGGCGTAATTTAAAGAGACTAAAGGAGCTCTTGATTTATTATCAGTGGTATATTGGAGGGGTTTTATTAAAAATTGCCTCACAATTGATGATATGTTTGACGCTGGAGTACCCAGAGTTGGAAATCTCGATATTCGTAACAATGATTCCAATTTGGATTCTATTATCGGCATCGATTGTCTACGTGTTTGGAAGACTTAATAAGATTGAATCATGGTGACAAAAGGAAGACATTATAGCCGATGAAAGTACTCAACATTTATTTAGTTTTTGAATATATTTTTCGTATAAAATGAATTTTAAGAGAATTATCCTACGTTTAAGTGTAAATACATACAGATGTAACTTAAGTTTAGAAACCGTATTTATTTTGGGTGGCTCGACGTGTTTGGCGATTCGCTGCCCACATCGCCTGTAATTCTGCCTCATTTGCTTTGGCCTTATGCGCTAAATATGTTATTTGATGCTTGCGTCGGGTGCCGGATGCCGGTTCCTCATCTACGAGAACACCCGTTGATTGATATGTTGTAGATGAGGCTAAGGCTGTGCGCATCCATTCATCTCGATTTGGCAACACCTGCTCACTGGTTAGATCGGTCATTTGAATATCTTCCAATTCATAACGTTTGCGCTTAATACTGCTGCCTGCTAAGGCTTTTATCGCTTCCATCGCGTCGAGTTTTTCCTTGTTAACTGATGCGTGTTCCAATTCCAGTTCGCCTTGCTCTTCTTTAGGCTCTTTTGCAGTTGAAATTTCACGCCTGCAATGTTTATTTGCGCTCTCAACGATCTCGGCCGCCCTCTTAGCCACCATTGCATTAATTTCATTGGTGCAGACTTTAGGAAGCTTTTCGTTGCGTTCAAGAGAAAAGAAATCCGTAATTGAATTTTCGTTCGTAGCTTCTTCGTCGCTGGCTTCATTATCGCTGCAACTTTTGCTAGCCTTCATAGATGTTTGTAAACTTCGAACATTTCTACCGTCGATATTTTCTGTATTGGAAGCTGGTCGCGCTCTTGCTACCGTGTCGGGTATAAAAGCAGGCGCAATTGGCCTACTTACTTCAGGCGATGTAATTGCCTTATGTGGTAATGATTTTGTAAAGCCCAGTTCCGACTTGGGTTTCGGAAGGATGCTTAAGAGACCAGATCGTTTACTAAGATTTGCTAATGATTGCTGTTTACATTTAGCCTTGCAAGCTAATTCTCCATTAACGTCATCAAAATCTTTTATTGAAGGTATCATTATTTTGACTGGATTTGGACATTTTGTTGAAGGATTAAGTGTAGGTTTTACCATTGGTGAATTATGTAACAACTTATCTTTCCTGTGGAGAAATTCATCATCTAATTCAACTATTTGTTTATTCTCCATTTTTGCGATCTTAACCGGAGGTAATTTACTAAGCGCTAGTTTTATATCAGTGCAGGGCGAAACCTGTTGAGTTTCAACTTCTTTCTTAGGCATAGGAAGTAGAAGGGAACAATTCTTTGTGCTTGCGTGCTCTTTTGCTAGGTCTTCCTTCATAATAAACTTTCCCTTGGATGGCATTACCTCTGAATGCTCGTAACTATCTTCACATTCCTCACTGCCGTCACTGCTGCTTGAATCGTACTCTACCAACGACATTTTCAGCATAAATCTTTTGACGATAGGGACTGATACTGGTATTAATAACGCGACAAGACCAAATAAACGAATAATCACCTATTATAATTTTTATCAATTGTTAACGTAAAATTCGGATTGTGTTTACAATTAATAAACTAAACAGCTGACGCATAGTTGTAATTAGGAAGACGTCATAAATTAAAGTTGCAAGAGTTAATACCGATGAATCCAAATGCATTGAAAGTTGTAGCCATATAAAGCATGAAAAATTGCTTAGCTTTTTGCTAGGCATTGCCGAGATTAATAAATCATATGGTTTTTACGTAAGTAAGCAAATACAACCAAGAAAAAAAACTAACATGCAAAACATGGATTAAAAAAACAACCAAGCAAACAACAAAAACGATTTATTTTAAAATTAAGAATTATGTGTAAAATTTTAATTTAATTTTTATGTTATATTATTTTGGCCGATTTTATATTGTATGACTTCAAATTTTGATTAACATTATTATTTTATATTTATTTATAATATGAAGAACGAGAAGTAGAGACCATTTATCCCAAAAAGGTTAATTTACAAAATGATTTATTACGACGAATAATTTTAAAGCGTAATTATCGAATTATGGAATAATTAATAAAAGCAAAAAATGTTTTCGACTTTAATATTTTTTATTGTTAGCTTTGATGTATTGTTTTTATGTATGTTTTGTCCAAATATAATGCAAATAAATTTAAAAAGCATGGACTTAAAGGCTGCCTGGTGGCTTAGAACCATATATGCACGCCCGTACTGAAAACTTTACCACACTTGAGACTTGAACTCGCGACACTTTGCCTACTCGCGATCCCTTGCCTACTCCGCTACTTATGCAGAATTTTGATATATATGGTATATATGTGTTGGCTGTCTACATTTATCTTAATTTCTTCATTTTCACTCCAATTGTACGGTGCCGTCTGCATTTACTTCAATTTCTTTATCTTACGCTTCGAGCTATATGCGGAGAGAGTGTTCTATATATTAACTAGTTTCGAACAGGACTAGTAAAAGGAATATGATATGAAATAACTGGACGTTTATTTGCAAAAAAAACTTTTTATAATGGACAAAGCATAAGATGATGTTTGCGTTCTTGTGTGTGACGTGGATAGAAGTGCGACAACTTGCTGGGCCAAATGTATTATGTTGTGAGCGACAAGAATTGCTGAAGTAATTACTCTTTGCTATGTCTGAAGTTATGAGTCGATCGCATTTGATCATTTATGTAATCTCTAATTATTTAAAATCCGTTTACGCCAGAATCCTGCATGCTATGATATCAAGTTCGCTCTTCGCTGGTCCTGCAAACCAATACATACTTTCATATATGCATATACAAGTATTAAATATACGGTCTATTTAGTTGTGCGTTTAGAGCTAATGTTGAAGAAGTGTCCTTCGTTCGCAGTTGCCTTTGTGTTAGTAGTTAATATTTAGTAAAAATGCATTATTTCTTATTTACTAGTTTCAGATCGTCGCATGGTTTTATTCGAATTTATTCAGAGAGAGAGAGAGAGAGAGAGAAGACGCTCTAACTATATATTCACATTATCCACCAGTAATCTGGCCTGAGGACGGATATGTGAACATATCTAATGCGATGTAAGATTACATTCTAATTAAAAGAATATAAATGTGCCTCAACCAAGAAATAGTAGGAAGAAAAAGGAATATTTTACGTTACCATTTAATTAGTTTAAAATTGTTTCAGTGAAGTTTGGGGGTAGCGAGGCTCCTCTCATTGGATTTGTGCTCCCCAAAAAATTGTATCGAACGAAGAAATTACATCTTAGTGATATGAACAGTATTAAAAGTTGGGAAAAGTTTTATTAAGAGACGCATATCTTCATTCTTATGTGTGTAATTAATTAATATGGGGAGTAAACGATTTTAGAGAGCTATTTTAAGATAGTGGCTTGTGAGTTGACTGAGAGGCAAACCTATTTAACAGAATATGTGAGCGCAAGTAACGGAGAAAATTTGCAGCCAGAAGTCAGAAAATTTGACAAAAAAAAAAAAAAAATCAATTTTGGGGATGAATTCGATGTCAGTCTCTTGCGAATGTTTGTACGATTTGTGTAATAATATAATATACACAATTTAAATGATAAGTATCTATATCTACAGTATACCTATGCATAAAACTCATTCGTGAATTTGTGGTTATTAAAATTTCTCTTAAAAAGCACATGCAACGGGCCAACAATTTAAAAATAGATCAAAAATTATATTAATGTTGTATGTGGGAAATAAGAAATAAAAACAAAAATTTATCAAAACGTTAACGTTGAAAGCGAAAGAAGTGAGATACGTATAACGTATAAGTGAAACTAAGAAAGTTCATCACTAGTTAAAGTGAAACGAGCCGCAGTGCCCAGCTAGTTCCACTTTGAAGGGATATCACGCCATACACGTTACAGCAATATGCCAGCTTCGAATACGATTGTTTTGAAATCTCTCTCCATACTGTTGGGCTTATTTTTCGTTTTTGTTGGCACTTTAAAGCTAACGCCACATATTAGCAAGGATCTATATAAGGATTTGGTAAGTAACAAGAATATAAATGCATGTGTATATGTACATCTTCTTATTAATATGCACATTTGTGGAGACTTTTTTATGTATGAACATTGCAAAATCTATATTGAAAACACATAGAGTACAAGTGTTTTCCTTAAATGAATTCACTTGAGTTCAGATTATTTAATGTACATCGAGATGCATGTAAACATTGCAAGAGTGACTCTTGTTTTCGTTCATATAATTCTTATTAAATATTTTCACTTCCCACTTAAACTATAATACTTGCACGTCGTAGCTTATAAATGTTTTTCCAATAAGCAAAATGGAAGGAATTTCTTCGATATTCAGCATTTGATGCAAACGCTTAAATATGAATTAAAAATTGCTAAAAATAAGTTTATTAGACGCAAACGAGAAAAAAACCAAAAAAAAAAAAAAATAACGAGGAAAACATTTTTTTATTTATATATGTATGTATGTATGCATATGTATATATAAGCAGATTTTCAGCATTCAAGTTCAATAGCAGTGTTCGCTGTGTATTTCGTGGAATTAATTTTCAAAATTAAAAATATGACCTCGTATGGGGGTCAAATTCGCATACGTTTACATGCCAGTGCACATCAAATTGTATATGAATATGTAAATGTAATGTGTAAATGCGAATAATATCTATATATCCCCCTGCCCATACCGTGTAATGAGAACATGCTACTTTTGTTGTTCCATTTGTCTTACCTAAAAATATACGTCAGAGATTTCTTCGGCTCATATATTTGGCATTCAGCTTTCAGGTCAGATCTCTACTTTGTAAATGAATGTTAAACTTTCGCAAGCGTCTGCCAATAGCTAAAAAATATAGTCAAACGCGAAGCACTTGAATTGAAAATTTTAGATTGCATTTTGAGTGCAACTAATTCAAAACTTGGGCTAACAATATCAATCAAAAAGATTGATTATGTCTTCGAGCTCTTGTTCTTTAACACATTTACTATGAGCATAGCGCGGATGTATTGGGAAAAATACGTGAATTCAATTACAAAGTCTTTGAACTTGTCATTCTATTCACAAAATCCAGAAATGCTGAGGAAGTGATAAATTACAGTTGAGGCTTTCATGAACAGCAGCTCATCGACATTTTGGTGCAAGAGCTTTTGATATTGCTGTCAACAGACGACGAGCAAAAGAAGATAAAGAGAGTTTGTTACTTTCGACGCTTGTGGTATCAAATGGGATGACTTATTGAACAATCTGCTAACTGCTGACGGGACTTAAGACCACCACGGACCGCAACGAACACAATAAACGGTGATTTGCTAGTGAGTGGTTTCGGAAGAGCGCATCAAAATAACACTGAAATGGCTACTGCATTCTGGAATAAAACTGGATGAGAAAGAATTTCAAAAATAAAGTTCACGGTGAGCCATCTTTTTTTTTTTTTGGTTTCTTTCTCAACATAAAATATATATATTATGGCAGAGAAATATGATTGTACTTATTAAAAGTTACAACTTAAGTGACGATCTTTATTTCGAAGAAATGCCATGTGAACGACTGGCGTACTTTGAATGCGCTCCCAAAAAATAAAGAAGGGGGTAAGGTTTTAGCCGTTAAAGTTCGTCTTGATGTTTAGTGAATTTTTTTTATCATCGAACTTAATAAGAAATTTTCATGCGCTTCGGTACAAGTCACGGCGGCCGCTGGTTCGAATCGAAGATTACATTTCCTTTAAATTTGGTTAACGGGTTACGAGCACACATTAAAGTTCGCAATTGAATTGTCCCGGAATGTAAACTAGAGAATTTCGTTATCTTTGAATTAATTAAATTCTATTGCGTTTCTGATAGCTAATAAGTGAAACAATAGAAAGATTAAATTTTTTATTCAATTATTATTATTACATAACCATGGGCTGATCTTTACTTAAGGCATAAACTAGGAGAATTTCTCCTTTGATGCCAATATTCATTTCCATTCATGTACAAAGTGTACATGGGCCAATTTCTCATTTCACGTCTCATTTATGCTCTTTTCTATCCTCGAAATGCCATTAAATAGAATAGAATTACACTTAATAGACACGTTACGATATTAAAAACTTGAGAAAGGCGGCAGTTACTTTTTCTCTAATATTGTTTTACATTCTTATTGAGCGAATGTTATTTCGCCGGTATCATTGGTTTGTAAAATTCATATGAGATTCGGGACAATATATGCATCGCCAAAAGAGGTTTACAAGCCCGCCAACAAGGGGAGGATTTCATAAATTTCAAATTTTAAGTGAAAATATTTTTGAATTTTGTTATTATCGTTATCGTGTTATGTGAACTTTTACTGACTACGGGTAATGTATGTATACGAGGATTCAGAAAGCGGGGGAGATACTTACAAGCAATTTATTTATGTTTTATGTAAATTCATTGGGAAACGCTTTGAATGGGAACCCAGAGCGAGGTAAAAGAAAATATTTATTTTTAAAAACATTTTTAATAGCGAAAGTAAAACGAAAATATCTTACTACTATACTTCAATGAACACAAACACAAACTTTTTCTTGCACACAATTCGATATATTATTTTTGACTATGATTTGTATTGCAGCGTACAGAATACGTCAAATATGCCAAAGTATTTCCCCTAACAGCACTGTTTGGTATTAAGATACCTTCGAAATGGTACAGACGCACTGTTGGCCTGCTGGAGATTTTGTGCGGTCTTGCAATGGCTCTTATTCCATATCGTAACTAACTTCCGATTCCCTGTATTATAATACATTTAAAGAGATTAATATAAATTAAATAGATAAGGTGAAAAATGCTGCCAATATCACATTGCTGTTGTTAATGCTGCTGGGAATTTATCAGCATTGGATGGTCAGTGATCCATTTGAACGTTCTGGCCCAGCGCTGGTATTTACTTTTATGCTGGGCGGACGGCTGGTGGTTTGGTATCAGGTAAGCTATCATTTCATCTGTAATATAAAAACTTTACTTACTACATTTTCTTATTAGACTAGCCGCAAAGACGCCGAACTCTCCGCTTGTACTACCCAATCACAAACAAATGGAGTTAAACAAGATTAATTTTTGCTCACAATTCCATACATGTATCCCGATTAGTCTAATCATTAAATTGCTCAGCAGAAAATGTGTTCAATATATGGAAATGTTTAAAAAGGCTCTTAAGTGCGTATCAAGCTAAGTAATCAGAATGGAAATTTCTTTTATAGTCTTTAATATTAAGTATTCTAAATGTCTCTGGTTTTAAAGCCAACGTATACAAAAATAAATTACAACAACAACAAAAAAAAATATTCATTACATTAGTAATAAATATTTATTATATATGCACTTGATTGTTTCTTTAAGCTAAAGCGAAAAAGCGAATTATTAGGAAAATTAATTTTAACAAATTAGACATCTTGTCCAGTTGTGAGCAGAGTCAAAGCTTTTTGTAAATTTTCGATGGCCGTTTTCACATCATCATAATTTAATGCGCTACCAGCATATTTGCAATATTTTTGGGCTTTGATCATTTGTTCGGGAGTAATTTGTAAGTCGATTACTTGTGCAGAAGGGACATGTTCCGGTGGTACGAACGGTTCAAAACCACCTGGTTTTTCTTCGTCGACTGGTGGACTGGGTAGCTTATTTGGATTATTGAGAATCTCTTCTGCCGTCGGTAGCGTGCTATCCGCAGACGGTGGTTGTATTAACTCCAAATTCGGATCGTAGGCTGCGTTTGGATCACCATTTGCGGTAATATCCGGCGAATTGTCACGAATATCGGCAGGTGCTGTTATATTCGTTTCTTCGTCATCTCCTTCTTCTTGCATAGGTCCAGGTATTGGCGTTTCGCCGTTTTTCAAGCAATTATGTATGTAAGCTGCCTTCCACTTCGCATATTTACGATTGCCTAATGCTTCCTCCGATAATTCGCCAAAAGTTTGTAATATATCGTAAATTACGCCGCTGGAGTAAAACGCTTTTACAACATTCCTACATTAAATCAAATATTTAAAACACAGATCATTGTTCGCGATATAATCACTTACTTGCCAAAGTTGCTTTCTCGATCCTGTTTGTCAGCGTAAAGAAATAATTTCAACGCATAATTTTCCAAATGAGCCAAAGCAGCTACCTCGTTCGTGATAGCTTCATTGGTAGAGTTTTCTCTTTTTACTGTTTCCAACCAATCCATTATAGCTGTGAAAAAAGGTGAAACAAAAATTTGAAATAGTTTTTATGTTAGAAAAAAAAGTTGCTGTGAGTCATCATTATTAATACGGTTTTCATCCAGACGTTTATATTACTTACCCAACAATAAAGAAGTCTCGTCTGCTTGTTGAGCACTAATTTTCAGGCCAATTTGCAAAGCACTATTTAAATAGAGATAGAAACGTGAATAAAGACATTATATGAAATTCGAAAAAGACGCACTAAAGCCGTGACCAATATGCCACCACAATATCTCTGTCGTCATGTTCCTGGGCGATTTTTAAAAAATGTTGTATTTGCTTAAGAGATAAAGGACATGGCGGGAATGCCATTATATTTTATGTAAATTTTTTACGAAATCTCTATGTTTTATTTTCTTTTTTATTTTTCTTTTCTATTTATCGATTTCTGCTACTGGCGAAGAACGACAAAAACAGTGTAGTACACTTTTGACCGTATTAACACAGACCGTTTTCTTTAATAAAAGATGCACTGTTAATATCGTAACAGTAAAATGACGTTATAATTAATGAAATGAATAAATTATTTGATACGAGAGAATTATTCTTTTTGGGGTAAATGTAGTTCCTTCGTTTTTTTTTATTTTTGTTTTATGCTTTTATCTTTCATATTATTTCTTCCGATCAATATATAATAAATATCTTCATTTATGAATAAAGTGAGCTGCACTTGTTTGTTCACTATTATGAGGTACTTTAAAGATCGTTAAAAGTTTTCATTTTATACATTCAATGAAATTCATATTAACTAATTGTCGTCGGTAGCAATATTCCTAAAACCTCTCATATTTCTTACTGGATATGACTTCATCTCAGTACCAAAAACGATAGGCGTATAAATTTTAATATAAATCTTAGTTTGCTATGAAATCCTACTTTTTTAAACCGTATCGGAAGAACCAATTACAGAAATGAACGAGAGAGAAGCTATTTTCTATTTGACAAAATGTTTTTAATATTGAAATAAAGAAAATAGTTTCACAATTTGTAATAACTATTGTTAATAAAATATATTAGTTTGGGGAAAAAGAACTCCATTATTTTTTCGGTAGATGGCTGCAATGATCGATTTCTCGTAAAGTATCGATCAAACAATTTCCGATACTGTACATTTACATACTGTACATTTCGCAGTAAAAAAAATACTTTTGCTGTTTTTTGTTTGGTGCATTCATTTGTGAGTTACAGCGTGTTAAAAATGGAAGTGAACAAAGAGAAAATTCGGTACATTTTACAGTTTTTCTTTGACAAAGGCGAAAATGCAAGTCAGGCGGCTAAAATTGCGAATGGTGTTTATGGTTCCGATACTGTAACAGCCAATTATGTGCAATTTTGGTTTCGTAGATTCCGTTCAGGAATTTTTGATGTTAAAGATGCACCTCGCACAGGTAGGCCGGTCGTCGAAAATGTCGATAAAATCGGAGAAATGATCGAAGTTGACCGGCATGTTAGCAGTCGTAACATCGCCCAGGAGCTAAAAATCGACCATAAAACAGTTTTAAACCATTTACACAAAGCTGGATTCAAAAAGAAGCTCGGTGTTTGGATGCCACACCAATTAACAGAAAAAAACATGATGGATCGAATTTCCATCTGCGAAGCCTTGGCCAAACGGAATGAGATAGACCTATTTCTTAAACGGATGGTGACTGGAGATGAGAAATGGATCACATACGATAACCCTGTGCGAAAACGATCGCGGTCAAAAAGCGGTGAAGCACCTCAAACGGCCAGGAAGGTTTTGCTATGCATTTGGTGGGACTGGAAGGGGATTATTTATTATGAGTTGCTTCCATATGGCCAAACGCTAAATTCTGATCTCTACTGTCAACAACTGGACCGTTTGAAGATAGCGATTGACCAGAAACGGCCAGAATTGGCCAACAGGAGAGGTGTCGTGTTCCACCAGGACAACGCTAGGCCACACACATCTACAGTGACTCGCCAGAAACTTCGGGAGCTTGGTTGGGAAGTTTTAATGCATCCGCCATACAGTCCGGACTTGGCACCAAGCGATTATCATCTTTTTCTTGCATTGCAAAATTTCTTTAATGATAAAAAATTGGAATCTACGGAGGATTGTGAAAATCGACTACTAGAGTTTTTTGCAAATAGAGACCAGGACTTCTATGAGAGAGGCATTTTGAAGTTACCTTTAAAATGCCAACAAATCATACAACAAAACGGTACATATTTGACCCAAATCGAACAATCCGAAGCATGTTAAATAAAGTCCTGAAGTTCATATAAAAATAATTAATTTCTTTTTCCCCAAACTAATATAATATATATAATATATAAAAATAAATAAACACAATTATTTGTTTGTATTTTAGATCGTGCATTTTTTATACATAGGTGCAAATAAATATGGGTGCACAAACTAATTATATATATGTTTACTCATTTTTTATTAATGGTTGCTTGCGAATCGCAAACAAAACTTTGACTTATTAGGTTATTTTAATAGAGAAATCCTGAGGTCACTTCCCGCATACGATGTCAAGAGCATTTACGTGTCAAACCGGAATTAAGATTGCTGTTGACATATTTGGATTACATTCGAATCATAATTATTTTATTCGTTAGGTTTTCAACGATCTGGGAAATAATTGCGGATCTTTCGCTTTTGTTTTTCGACTAGTTGTGCTTCATGCTATGGAAGGCATTTAGCAATGTTCAGTGGCATTAATTTTTTTTTTTTTTTTTTTTTTTTTTGCCTTACATTTGCACAACAGCCATTAATTATACTCTCTGATATCTGTTAGGCCGAAGCAGAGTAGATCACATTTCGAGCAAATTTTCTAAGGAATTGCATATTTTTAACAAAAGTTATAATTCCTTTCAGAGTTACGTTTGTAAGAAAAAATTATGTATTAATGTTGCTACGGCGATTGTGTGGTTAGCGCCTTAATTAAGGCAGTTGGGTGAACAAATTCAGAAATTGCTGTTAGGAAATTTGTAAACATAACAATCTTAAAAATATAAAAAATTTTTAAAATTGTAACTCACGCAAAAATTTACAGGAAAATTAAATAAATACTGAAAGTATTACTCCCTGCTTTGATCAAGAGACAACTTTTCAGATACTGGATCTTGTTTTTATTTGTTTATATAAAAACATAACAGAAAAAAAGATAGAGGAACGCAAGAGGACATGTAATGTAACGACAAAGAAGACACCATTTATATGAATTAATCACTAAGCATATATTTTAACAGAACTGTTAACATTCATTTACATGGAAAATCTTGAAAAAAGAATATATAACAATTACGGTCCTGACAATAAAAGATCTAACAATTTAAACATTGGATTTACCCTTATTACTTTTTTCACTTGTAAAATTCTACGTTATTTTCTATTTAGTTTATTTTGCATGCTTATTACTGTCTACCATATATAGTCTGTTTATACAAAACAAATGAACGTTAATTTGGTTCTGATTTATAAAGTTTATCTCTGTTTTCTCTGTGAAGTATTGGAAAGCTGGCAGCGATGGTACCTGATTAGCCTCTTGGCGATAACCAATTGTCTCCTGGCGACGATCTTCAGTTTGATGATTACCCCCAGCTGTTATCCGAAAATAAAAACGAAACCATATTGTTCATTGATTTGCTATTCAAATAGCGTAAGTAATATTAGATAGCATAATTTAATTTTTTGGTTAAATAGTTCAAGTAAAGCACAATTCCATGGTTCCTTTTTTACTCAACTCAACGACTCGTCTTTAGTTGATTACCTGACTCACAGAAGAAGAAAAAGAAGAAGAACATGAAGAATAAAGAAATAGATTATTCGACTAACAAACTTTAATTTAAACTTTTCTTGGCTTAAAACGCAACGTCATATATTTAATCTAATTGTATACAGCCACCGAAGTTGAGTAAATTTTCATCTAATCTAGGTATATAAGCCGTAATATATTGGCTTAGACCGCTTTTACTTTATATTGAAAAATATTGCTAAGCAAAAAAAATTTAAATTTGTAAAACGTAAATAAAACATAAACGTTAATAAATAATCGATTAGTGTTAACGAATAGGACATATAAGCCACAAATCTATTGGCTTAGTCCATCTCTGTTCAACATACCAAAAAAAAAAGAAAAAAGTGTTAACGAATACAACAATATTAGACAAAATACTTCGACAGACCATTTCATACTATTTGATGAAAGAGGATATGACTACAACTCTCTTAAGTTGGAGGTTCTGATGAAAGATTGTACTTAGGAGGTTGTTTGGCTGGGGTCAAAGTAATGCTTGGCTCTTTGGTAAGTGGTAAAATAATTTAAAGCACTACGTATTTGCATCTTTCAAATTTATTTAGCTGATAGAGCATTGCTTTTATGGCCATGGTTAATGACACGGTACAGAAGTCCAATTTATCTCATTAAACTCGATATGATATCCAATGCAAGGAAAGTAACATTGTTGACAGATGATTTATATAAATTTAGTGTTACTTGTCTCGATTAGTGTCTGTTCATTTTTCAAGATCGCTGGCGCATTTGGATGAAAGAGTGTAAGAGCAGACAAGAACATGAAAAAAATTTTAAAATTTGCCGTTGAGGCCTCGTAATTAAAGTAAGTAGGTGACCAAATAAGGAATGATATATTTTTATTTTCCAATCTATTTTACTGCTTTTATTATAATATATAATGTTAAGTACTTGTAGTAAATAATGATAATAACACCAATAAATTTATTATGTTCTAACATACAATTATTAGTTACGTTTTGTCAATATCTCCCGTAATTAGCTAAACCAAACTAGAAGATTTAGGTGAAGAACAATAGAGATTTGAGCAATTCTGACTGAACAAGAACAAGGAAAGCAACTATGTGCCAAACCATATGAATCAGATTTTTCAAACCAAACATGGTATGATTATCGCTTAAAGACTAACTATATCCATAATGGTTACTATTAAGCCTAAAGATTTACTGAGGAGTTACGTGGGAGCGAAAACATTGTCCCACAAGAATATTTGCGCGACCTGGCACAGATCCCTGAATTCAGCTGCTTACTTTTTGAATTTTAATCGCTACATATAGGTATATAAAAATGCATCTGTTTCTTTCCTCTACTTTCCTCTACCTCTGGCAAACACCCGCTGTACAAAAGAAAACAAATAGTAAATTTTGTCTTCATCGCGGACGATCCTCAACTAAAAGATATATTATTACTCCTATGCTAAAAAAACTTTTTTCTTGTCTTATATATTGGTAAAATTTCCTTTAAAATTCCGTTGAACTTGTTGAAGACGTAGTTGAGTAAATATTCTTCTTTCAAGTCGAATATTTCTGCATCATCGTTTTTTTTTACTGAAATACTTACTGTCGATGTCTCCATTATTTCCTATTTTACGAAGAAGAGAGGATTAGTAATTACATTACATTATTTAATTGCAATGTTTGTTTTGCGCCGTAAGCTCCTGCAAGTAATCTTCGCCGTAACCTCTTTTTGATCTTAGAAACGTTTTCTTAAGCAACGCGCTCCAACTATCTAATGTTCAGAAAAAAATATTATTATTTATTTATTTATTCATTGTTTACATATCTTATAAATAAATTTAAAAATTAGGTACTTAGATAACTTGCTGGATAAGTTGGACCATGTGCTCGCCTGCACTGAAAACTCTGCCGCACTTATGACTTGAATCCGCGACCATAGTTCTGTTTGTGATATTCAACACCAGATTTAACTCACATTTGACTGGCTTTTCCCCTCGAATATTACGTTTGAACCGCCCTGGCAGAACTTTTGTCTTCCAACGGATACCATACTTCCGGGATGCTAGTTATTGATAATTCTCTATTTCTGCTTCAAATCGTTTCCAGGAAGTTTTTATTTATGCCTTCTTTGTAACACTCTCTCAACTTATGATGCCAACAAGTAAAAGGTTGAAGAATCATTATACACTTTGAAGTAACTACATATATATGAAAAAAAAAAGGAAGTCTTCCTTTCTTCAAAGAGTTTATTCAACTACGTTCATTCAGATCTGTTGTTGTGTTTTTTACAACTGCTGAAAGCTGGCGAAATTCATGGTTGTTTATACCGATCGAAAGAAAAGTGTGATAATCAATCAATCTCACTGTCAGATTTATGTTTAAACCATCGCAAGGCCGTTGCATTAATGTAACAAGTTGTCTTAAAACAAATGCAAATTATTATTAAGTACATACAGATAATGAAAAATAAACTCTTGACAAAAGATCCAGATTCATAATCTATTTTTCCGAACTGTATGAGCAAGTATAGTTTCATAGCCTAAGATTAGCCTAGTTCTAGGATTTTCGGTTCTAAACTAATAAAAATTAGGGTTCCGCTTTGTTTATGTTAGGTTTCATGTTTCTAATCTGCAAGTTTTGTCTTTGTGTGGATAGGAATACGTGTGGAAACTTGCTTGCCAATGAAGGCCGAGAGATATTCTTTATTAAGTAGATTCATTTTAATAGGAATTGAAGTGCATAGTGTTCCTCATGTAAAGTGATGGAGTTTAGACACTCAATGAGATAATCATAACGGTCATAATAATATCGCTGTTTTTTGGTTCTCGAATTTTAAGGCTTATGTGAAGATGGCTTAATGGAAGATGTTTGTGCAAAACGAAAAGGAGATCATTTCGACTGATGTACTGATATTGAAATGTCGATAAGCCCAGAATGTCTAAGTGAAAGAAGAGTGAATTGACAAACGAATTAAATTAGTCCTTGCAAAGTCTTCCTTTAAATACAATTTTGCCAATTTTCGTGTCAACAACAAACAATGAACTCTATTGAATTCACATTGCTTTCAGCTTTCCATTTTCATCATAAATGTTTTCTAAATCTTCTCTGCGTTTTAATGAAAGACGCGTTTATGTATGTATATATATGTTTGTATATATATATGCATGTAAAACTTTTTATTAATACAATTAAAATATAATTGTGTGATTGTATGAATAATAAGAATAAAAAATTTATAGCAAAAGGTACAATTTGTTCTTATGTATATATGTTTAATACAATAAAAATAACATTCACAGATATTTAAGACAATGCTTACTATTTCGAGTTATATACAATACTTTTGTAGTTGTGGAATGATGTTTACATTCTAAATAAGAATAAGGCACTAACGATATGTTAATTGAAATTCATGGGACCCAAACAGTAGATAGTGTACACGCATACTCTGGGAATTAGTATTTGTAAGAGAACCAATTATACATTTTTTTTTTGTTTTTGAGCTGATTCATAAGAAGTTTAAATTTACATATTCGTTGTTGTTGCTTTATGTTTTACAGCGTTTCCTCTTTCGAGTTCATCTACTAGTCAGTCTTTGCATTGATGCCATTAATGAATTTGTTTTGGAAATTAACGAAAAAAGGGAAATGAGCATAAGTACCAACTCGAAGCTTCAAGCTTAACGGGGAAGAAGGGACGTAAAGCTAATCTAAACTTTAAACATTAGATTCTGTTAAGATCCTTAAAAAAAATGGACGGTTGTTGTAAATATTACAAGAAAAATATGTACCTACAGGTAACGGCCACATAACGCACATAATACGAAATTATATGTGGTTTTCATAAAACATAAAGAAGGTAGTTATTGTGAAGCATGCATCATTTCAAATTTTGTTTGTGATTCTTTAAAGTATCTCCGTTTCCGAAGTTGAACATGAACTTCAGTAAGGAAGAGCGTTGCTGTCACAAGCGCCGATACAGCTCCGATGCAAGCTAATATGAATGACCAGCCAAACCAATTGTTTGCATGTTCAGGCATCCAGTCGTTGCGATTGCCTAGAGAAGCAAACAGAATAACAGCTATACTCGCGCAGATACCACCTGCCAAAATTACATATCCTATAATACGAATCAATGTAATGAAATGCTTTTGGTCTGGGCCAGCGCACAAAACAAACACTAGAACACCTATGGCGGAGATCAGCATGGCAATGAAGCTTAGCGTAAAGAAAAATTGAGTTGCAATCATAAAGCCGGGTAACAAAAAACCACGAATTTCGTCATAACCTGTTGTGAAAGGATCGTATACCCAACGGCAACCGACGAAAAAACGTCTTTGACTGTCATCGTTTACGTCTGGCAATGATCGAAAACAATGTACCCAAAGGCCTAAACGTTCAAGTTTGGCGCCCGCTAAGCGATAGTCACTTACCAACCAATTGGGTGTGGCAAATGCGATCGCTATAAAACCAAATGCCAACACAAAGAATCCAATGCCCGTACTGCCTGCCACTGTGCGTCGTTTCATATTCACACTTGTTTGAACAATTGCTGGTAAATTTTCTTGTGAATCTTCCCGGGAAATTTGTGAAATTTTTTGCATTATTTGCAAATGAAATTTAGAAGTAAGCCCACTTTTAACTCTACTCACGACTAATGCAACAACATACTAAAAACAAGATAAAGAGAAAGTAAATCTTATGAGTTTGTATGAAATAGTAGTAATAGTAGGGTTGCCAGCTCTCTACAATTGTTTATCTTGTGTATGCTTGTCATAGACCGTATATAATGATCCAAGCATTACAGCGATGTCAGCTCATAAAATGTATTACAATAATGCCAGTAATCTAAAGAAAATAAAGATGATTAAGAAGAAAATTCTGAATTAAAGTTCCTTTGTTATTGGCATTCACCTGGTCTTATCACTTTTATCAGATTTAGTATTTTCTTTAGCGATGAGCATAAATAAATGCTTTTTTTGTTTGAATGTTGCCGTCGTTAAGAATTTGTTGCAAAAATTTACTAAGAACATACGCTTGTGGTTTTAAAAATCTATTACTGATTAATTGTTGTGAACAGTTAAAATGTGTCATTTCCATTTTTCTGCATCACATTTTATTATAACAACAGCCTAGGGGCACGGTTGTAAAATTACGACCTTATTACATTGCTTTGCATTTTTAAAAAATTCTGTGACTTCTCTAAAATGTTCGCTGCAAATTTTAAATGTATACAATGCCCGGATAAAGTTGTAGATAATGCAACCCTGCAGCTAGTTGCAACTTAGTTAGCAGCTTTAAAATGAAATGTTAATATTGAGAATAGAATGACAAAATTAAAACATATCTTAATTTGACGTAATAGTTCTTTTTTAGTTCATTTAGTTTATTTTACCAAATGACTTCAAAAGGATTTTCCTTTAATTATCTTGCCAAAAAATACAATGATGATTGCGTAGTTCATTGCACGGCGTCAGTGATTACACGCAGTTAAATGATGTCACAGTAATATGAAACTTAACCACATAGAACTTAAGGCAATTTACAATGCACTTATGCCCTTTCAACTAAACGTGACCTTTTATTTTTTATTTGATTAAACATACGTCGTTTTTATGCAGTCTTTCATGTAAATTAAAATTACCATAATAATTCCAATAAGTGAGATAGAAAATGCAATTCTTTAAATGCAATATATTGAAAACGATTCTGCTCGAAAATACAAATAAACATTTCGGTAGTTTTATATACATTCACAATAGTACGACAACAATAAGAAATACTGAATAGAATTCTTATTATGTTCCATTCTAAAGCATGTTCTTTAATATTTGAAATACTCTACGATACAGAGCTGAATTTTTTAGTTGTGAAAACATATGTAATGAGTGTTAATAAGTTACGACATCTTGTTATCTGGCATATGCGGTTTTGTGCTTTGCGTTAATAGATGAACGATAATATTTTGGGGAAATCTATAAAATAAAGGCTGAAAATGTTCCTCACGTTCAGTATATTTTATTTCGAAATGCTATTTATCATGGTCTCCGAAGGTTTTAGGGAATTGTTTTTGAAAGACCTTTCGAATCATTGTGCTAAGCGAGAATAATAATAATAATAATTATCACTCACCCTATACAAGACAACTATGTTATGTAGCATATGAGATCTTTCCAGGATATTCCCCTGATTTATTAAACTTTTAGAAAGGCACTTCTTAGACTATACAAAACATTATTAATCATTTTTGATCATATAATCACATATTTTCCATCAATGGATAATGGAATGCCATGCCTGCCCAGCCTGTCTGTTTGAAATCGTAATTACGATTTCAAAACTTTTTTTAGAATAACAAAAATTGGAGCAATAGTTTTACTGTGCATAAGTACGGAGGATTACGAAGAAGTCACGAATTTCAATTTACAGAACGACTAGAAAGGGGTTGTATCGAACTGGATGCAATTACGTTTTAAAATATGTGCGATGGCCGATGCATACTATACGATGTACGATCATTTGTACCTTTTAATATAAGTATGCAAGCGATCGTTCGGAATGTCTTTTGCTCTCATATTGTTACAAAAATATAAGCAATATTTTTCTGTGAATCACTGCAATAATTGCGGACAAATTTGAGGTTTTTTGTGATTTTGGTCAATATTTATTAGAGTGTACTCATGCCGACCAACCTCAATTCCATGCAAAAGAAATGCGGAAAAGCATAGATTTAATGTTTTCAACGCAAAATTCTGAAACCAACTACCAATCTCAAAACATTTTTTATTAAAAAGCAGTTAAGAGAACTTGTGCAAAGAATCCCATTCAGCATATATGGCCTTCTTCGCGCTTTTCTGACTTTTGTTTACTACGTTCCTTTGGAAAAGATGTTTAAGGTTCCGAAAATAACAAAAAAAGAAAAAAATGCAAGGATTTATGTTTTTGCTTATATAAAAATTATTTCGAAAGTAAAGTTTTTTTTGTGATTTAGATATGCTCGGTACTTTTTGATCTAAGCAATTCCTTGATAGACGAATGCGAACAGCGCTTTCTAACTTATAAGTTGTTCCACAACATTTTTATCATTCTTTAAAGATATAATTTTGAAGAAATTTACTCGGATTTATATAATATTATATCGAGATCGAACGAGGAGTCATAATGCATTCTGAAATAGCATTTGACATGGAACTTGGGGCATATGCAATTTGTTTTGAAGCCTGGAATTCGAGTTTGAAAAGTCGAGCTGAACAACCAATATTAGACATTGATCTGAAATTTGGCATAGATATATCGCAGATTCGTTGAAAAATGTTAAATTCAAAATGACTCGGACGAACCCATCCGCCATGGTCCCAATCGAAGGTATATTTTGATATTTTTATTGCTTTGCGTCAATGAATACCAAAGACTTGACCTCAAGGCTTCGTAAGTAAGACAACTATTAGATACTTGCACATATTGTTAAAATTTTTTCACTTGAAAAAGACGTTTATTGAGAAAAATTGGTACAATTTATATTAATCAAAATGTTTTCCAGCATTTTCTACAACATTTTACCATATTTTTGGCAACATTGCGATATCGACTCGAAGGGACTTATATTGGTTTGGCAGCGATCCACCCACCGACTCATTTTATTATATTATTATATTTTAGATACGCAAATAAAAACTTTATTATGACGCGGAACTGTTGTTTTTCCTGAGGATATTTATACAAAATCGCAGAGATGGATACCAGCAATTGTTTATAACTTGTTGATATCAATATTTATTTGGCTTCTCCAAAAACGTGTGTGCGTGTGATTGAATAGCGTCGATTTTCAAGACACTATCGATGTGTAACCTGGAAGTTGCAAGACCAGAAGTATAGATAGCGATTTTGAAAAAGCTATTTATTGTTCATTGGACAGAATATTTTTTATTTTATGTTTATTATAGAGTCTCGACTAAAAGTTACGTGCATGGGGCATATTTCACTTTGTTGAAAACATGAGGTATCAACACAAGGCTTGTACAATTCAATTCATAATTAAACAGTAAATATCTCTAGGTGCAGGAAATATCTCACGAAGAGGGGAGAGAAGAGCCGATTGCGATTAATTTCTTCATTACATAAACTCCTTATGCAAACTAAATGGTTTTCAAATATTTAAATGTGTTTGATTTTCTTTTTCAATTCATTTGCTGGCTGGTGTAGAGAGGAAATTTCCTAATTTTTGATAAATTTTGCATCGAAGTAGAATAGAAAGCTTTTCTTCTCCACCTGATGTCTTGGATGAAAGCAGATTTTGAGAAGAGGCAAAGATATTTCACAAAATGCTTTTAGTTTCATGCGCGTTGTGACGCTGTCGGCTTTCGGTTTTCCAATATTCGCCTGCAAACAGTCACTCATTTTCTCAGTTTAAATATCAAGTAGGTACAAAAGAGCAGAAAAATCTGTTCAAATTTTTCGATATATATTATGTTAGATGATAATTTTTGAAAAATACCAAAAACATAGTTTTACATTATATTCTTGCCTACAGCCTACGCCTTACATATTAAAAAAAGGAACATCGACCTATACATATATATTTTTACATGGCTTCCGCCTCGGATATCATCGCTCACGATACGCGCATACACCCAAAATTTTTGATGCAATTCCATAGAATTCAGTAGCTTCTTGGGACTTTTAAACGTTAACTTGGAAGTCATCATAAACGAACATTTTCAATTAATTTGCGAAAGACTGGTCATCGTTGCTTGATGCTTTCACTTGATAAGTCTCAACTAACGTTAATTAATTACAACAATGAAATATTGGACGGCAGAGGATGGGGTGAACAAGCCAGAAAGGCAGGCAAACGACACTTTGCGTGCTGCTGCACATGATGGAGCTGTTCACAGGGAGGTTGCGTGTGCTCGCAATCGACAAAAACAATGCGGTGCAGATGTATGAATGAAATATTCGATGTTGTTCCCTCAGTATCGCGTATTGAATTAAGAAATTTATTCTTGTTCGCTGTTAGTCCATTATGGGTTTGCCGACAACGCTTCCTCTGACGTCGTTTACGTAAGGCGAGGCTCATCACAGAGATGTGTTATTGGATTCATTGTTACTTTTCCAAACGGAAGTGTTGCTTTGCAAAAGAAAAGTGTTGCTGCCTCGAGACAATGAATCAATTCGTGCATTTCTTGTCATGATGGACAAAATCAAGGAGATGATTTTCCTACCACACAGTTTTCATTACGTTGGTTTTCTCTTTTCAAAGTTATCAAAGGTGGTTCGATATTCAAACATTTGCTAACAAAGGAAAGGGGTGTCTGTGCCGGACGGCTCTATGGACGAGAGAAAGTTTACATAGACAAGTAAAACGATAGTGTTTTATTCTTTTGTCTGTTCGGAGTACTTTTTGGAATGTCCTGCTGTATCTCTGTTAATTCTTGTGACTGCGAAGATTTCAACAGCGGTTTCTCATACAGAATTCAAGATTGTAATGTATAAGGAACTCAACTTGTTTTATATAACAATAATAACAATAAAAGTGACAAAAAGAGACAAAAACTTATTTTCTACCTGACAGATCACTTAGATAAATGCTTACTTAAAAGAAACTTTTTTTTTGAATTAAATTCTGTCAGTTTTTTTCAAAATAATTCTGTCAGATCAATTACTCTTAATGATAGGAAGTATCACTTATATGTTTTTGAAGTGCAAGTACAAGAAATATATACAAAAGTGTATATATGTTTTGTATTCGATTCGTGTGACGGTGTATAAAAGAGTTTTTGTTAATGAATTCGGTTATATTTTTGTATTTGTTTTATTATGTTTTGCGGTTATGTTACAAAATTTATAAAGGCTAACTCATGACGGGTGTAGATTCTTGGAAAAGCCTAGAAAAGGAGATTTCTTCACAATAACAGTAATATTTGATAAGTTTATTAAGCACACAATTAAGGATTAGAAAAAAATTTTTGGAAAATATTAAAAAATGGTAACACTGCAGCCATTCTCAAAGGGCTTTATGGTAAGCAATGCAACAGGTTCAAATTTGACTTAAAACACAGGTAATTACGTTAAAGACGGTCAAGGCCGATCTTTAGATGCCTTATACTACTTTGCTTAGTATAATTATTCACTGGTTTTGGTAACAATACACTAAAAATTACACATCATTTTCATTTTAATGAAAGTCCGCCTATCGGAGGATGCCCAAATATTGCATGGTATAATCCAACTTTAGTTAACTTAATTTACTTTCTTAAAATTTTATAATCTTTCAGCTTCCGTCATAAAAAACTAGAAATTAAGCTTTCAATACCAGGGCTTGCTCTTCATGGTAACCCTTATATTTGTTAGGGTATAAAAAATAAATCTATGTGAGCCGACTTTGGTACCGTTAGTTTTTTTTTGCTAAACTACCTCTCAGGACCACTTTTCATCATAAAATACTAAAAATCGAAGCATTTTCAGGAGAAATCTCATACAGAATGGGGTCCAAGAAAT